CACAGTCTACTCAGTCATCAAAAATGATGGAACATATTGTCAACAGTGCTACCAAGTGACATTTATGCAGCAGTAACTTGCTCACCGGTGATCTGTTTCTGTTCCGCCAGTGCTACATTGCCCGCAAACTTGTTATATTGTTCGTCCAAACATGGGCAAGAGCTGAACTCCACAGATGAGGTGAGCGACTGCCTTTGAACATCAAGGCAGCACTTAACCAAGTGTAGCATCAAGAAGCCCCAGCAAAACTGGAGTCAACAATAATCAGGGAGAAAGCTCTCCATTGATTGGGAGTCATATTCAGCACAAAAGATGGTGCTGTGGGTTTACAAAGTCGAATCAGTGCAACCCTAAACGCATCTCTCCAGGAGTTCCTTACGGTAGGTATCCTAGGCCAAACAACTTCCAGCTGGTGCATCAACAATTTTCTCTTGACATCAGATCAGGGGTAAGGAAAAAAATCCCAAAAGAATTGCAGATGCTGGAAATCAGAAATTGCTGGAAAAACACAGCAAGTCTTGCAGCATCTGTGGAGAGAAATCAGGGTTAGCATTTCAGGTCCAGTGACTGTTCTGAATAAGGGTCACTGGACCTGAAACATTAATTTAAGGGTGAGGATGTGCTCTGATGACCAGTGTTCATTTGCAGTTCCTTGGATTGTGAAGTTGTGTGTATCCATTTGCAGCAAAATCTGGACAAAATTCAGGTTTGGACTGATGAGTGACCAGTAACATGGTCATTGAATGGCACTTGTGTGGTGTCAATCTGAACAATAGAGAATATATTAAATCATCCCTTGAATTTCAAAGGCATTAATATTGCTGAATCCCACATTAACAACATCCAGGAAGTCATGATTGGACTAGTTCAGTTTCTAGCCAGCCATATACAAGAGTAAATCAAAGGCTGGGAATTCTGAGGAGAGTAAACTTACCTCCTAACTTCCTGAACGCAGGAGTCAGCAGTGTCAGGGAGTTTGGTGGAATACTCTCCACTTGCCTGAATGAACACAGCTCCAAAAACACTAAAGAACTTCAACATCATTCAGGACAGAGTAATCTGCTTCATCAGTGCCCCACTTACCACCTCCACAACGCTCCTGATTTGGAGCTGTAATCACCATTCTTTACTGGTGCTGGGTCAAAGTTCTGGAATTTCTTTCCTATCAGCACTGTGGGTGTACCTAAATGATGTGGACTGTAGCAGTTAGAGATGGAGAACGAATGTTGGCCTAGCCAACAACATCCATATCAAACGAAATTTAAAACAAAACAAAAAATGACAGATTTATATTTTTATCATGCCTACTAGGACAGCTGTTCCTAGGGACTGGACAGTGGCATGGTTGGAAGATTTACATGCAAGGGACCAGAATGTTGGTGGGAATGTAACTTCTCAAAGATGAAACAAGCTCCATGTCTCATGTGGGAAGTGGGAACCAGGCTCAAGGCAGTTCACTGACTCACAGCCTCTTCCCAAGGAGTGCAGCATAATAACCTACTTATGCAAAATGGCATTACCGTGAACTTGGGAAACTGTATTGATTCCGAAAACCAATTACTCCCAGGATCACCACAAAAGTTAATGATTCAAAGCATGCAAAGTCCTTGATTTAGCTGGGTGTTGGAATTTAATTAAAAACCTGACCAGGATTGCACTTAAAATCTACTAGAATTTACTTATTTGTAATGAGTAATCATAAGAAAACAGCTGTAAACCATTAACATACAGCTCTACTCGTTAAAACTGAAATCCCCTTTAAAAACTATTACACTAAAACAAATGGTTTTGAGTGAAGGGGAAAATAAACTCTGGGGAATACATGTCAAAAACACAAGTCAACAAGATTAGTGAATGATCCTTTTGCTTGCCAAGACTCCTTCGACCTCCTTTCTCCAGGTTCTTTTGCTTCTTCGCAGAATGCACAGGGCAAAGTCTCTTAGTTTCTGGTGAAAGGCAAAAGCTTACAGTACTGGTGGAAGAATAAGTGGCTTTCAAGCTTCAGTTATTTTTACTGGAGACAGATGACCTGCTCTTTTAGCAGTCTGAAGTGTTCATTATCATTCACGTCTACAAGCTGTTCAGCTACCAAGGAAGCAGAAGGGTGTCGCAAGGTTGATGACCTTCGGCATCAATGACAGTTCACAACTGCACAAACTAATCAGCTACATGTTGCCAGCCAAAATTCACTGCATACAAAGCTCAGTGCCACATCATTTACATACCTCTCCCTGGTGCCAAAGCAGCAACTAAACATTACAGGCGTTTCACTCATTTGGAAAAAGCGCAGCAGTTTCTTCCACAGACCCTGATTTTAAAACTGCCTTTTTCTATTTCAGTCCACAAATCAAAAATACTGAAAATAAAGTAAAGTAATCATCTTTAAAATGGAAACAACTCAAGACAAGTTTCTGTTACAGCAGTTGTGGCTCAGTTGGAAGTACACTCATCTCTAAGTGACGTTTCAGGATCAAGTACCACTTCAGGACTCCAGTACAAAAAAAAGCCAAGGATGATACTCCAGTGCCATACTGAGTGAGCACTGTGCTGTAGACACTTAATAGACTCTGACTGCTTACTCAGACAGAAGCAAAAAGATTTCACTGTATTATTGTAAGGGAGGTAATCCAATAGCCTGGCCAATATTTATTCCTCAATCAACATTACAGAAATTAGTTTTCTTGGTTATTACCACATTGTGGTGCGTGGAATTTGCTAAATGCACATTGGCTGTTGTTTTCTACATGTTGGCTGTCCTTCCAAAAACAAAAGTTACTTAATCTCAAAGCACTTTTCAGTGAATAAAGATGTAAAAATGGCCATGAAAAAGCAAGTTAGTGCTAACACCAGAAGCTATTCAGGCCACGGAGTACATGTCCTGCTATATCCATATACCCCTACAAGCTCATTTCCCTCAAATGCCCATCCAATTTCCTCTTGAAATCACTGATGCTCTCAGCTTCCACCATCATAGCGGGACAAAGATCCATCAGCAGCACAAAATCTCTTTCTCCCAGGCCCTGGTCAAAAGCAAAGCCACACTTGTGACCGTCTTGAACCACACGTAAGCCAAATCAGGCAAAGACAGTAGATTTCCTGCTCTAAAGGACATTAATGAACTAGATTAATTTTTATAACAAATCAGTGCTGGTTTAATTGTCACAATAAGTAGCAGCTTTCAGGTCTCCAGCACAAAACTCCAGATTTATTAATTGGATCAACTTCCACCCAGCTATTGTGGTCAGATTTGAATGAGTGTCCTTGTAGCATTAGCCTGGGCCTCTGGATTAGTGGTCCAATCACATTACTACTATGCTGCTAATCCCAGCATTGAAGGGGTCAACTGAACAACCCTACTTCTGAGATGTTTGAGGAACATTCAGAAAATGAAGGGAAAATCCAAAAGGAAATAAGCTAAAACATTCCACTGCAACAGAAGATTCATAGGCCTTGGAGAACAAACCCTTGACTACCTCAATTTCTGCTGAACTTGCTCAATGGTTCCCTCTGAAAAATCACCAAGACGATCTTTTGGATTGTCAAAAGTAGATGGGTCCACATTCAGAGGTTCGCCTGTCTCCATTCCAGCTAGGCGATCCCAAGACCAGTTGAGAGAGGGGAAGACCAAGGGACTGCAGAAAGGGGATTATTTACACTTGATTAAGTCTAGGATGAATGCTAGTGGATTGTTTGCCAAATGACAAGTCAAGTCAAACTGCATTTTAAATTCAAAAAAGAGCATATATTTTGTGTCTTGTTTCAACAATCGTGCGACCCTGGATAGTTGTGCCGGTATGCCTTTTGGCATTTACTATTAAAAGGCAATCTTACTAACTGATTGAAGTAAATACAGGGGTCACAATAAAGCCTGCAGCGAATAAGAAATATTTGTGCACTTGTGGATATTGAAAAATGCATTAACCGTTGACAGATCAACTTTTATTCAGTAAATGTACAATGAGAAAGGTAATGGTGATGCTCAAATTCTGATCTGGCTATAGCATTTGCAATCCCAGATCTGCAAATTTGTTTTCCTTACCATTTTACATTGGAATTCCACGTGAAGATCAGATTTAAACATTTTGAATAGCTGGACAAAAATAACACTCTATCCCCGCACCACCACCCCCCAACACCACTCACCACCTTCAAGTTTCTGTTTTACTTACTCCTATATTACTTCTGTAATTATCTCTTGTACTGCAGACAGGTTTTGCTGCTTCATTCTCAGGTGAAGAAATTATTGCCATGACAAGATTCATAAAAATAAAAATAATTTTAAAACTTTAGCTAAGCTGTAGAGCTTGCTGAAGAAGATAAGAAAGAAAACATTACCCTTGTGTTTGTACTATACATGTTTATTCCTGAGTTGGGATCACTGAATGACTGTCACAAGTGCAAACGGCCTATGAATCAAAAGGACTGTGTGACTATCACATGGGCTATATGGGCATTCTTCCAAATTCCTAAATAGCAAAACATTCTACTTCCAGAGGTTTTGCTTCTATTTTGTCTCCTCATGTTAAATTATACAAATGGTTGACCGAATATTCTCTAGCCAGTGGGCAGATGACTAGTATAGACCAGGAGGATCCCAAGTTCAAATGCCAGCTTCTGCTGGACTGGTTGATTGCAGTCAATGTGGCGATATAGGCTGCAAAAAATGGAATTCAACCAATGCTGGCTTAGCGAGTGGAAAACTGGACAGAGCTCCTATTCCTAATCATTTGCTCCTGACCTCCGACTGGCAGTGAGCTTTTGTTGAAGTCAGGCAAAGATAGAACCAGATCGGCTCATCATTCTCCTGCAAATCAAATAGGCTGCCAACATTCATAGTCCAGAGAGAGAGACATGAATAATAAACAGAGCAAAGTACTACACGACAATCATTACACACAGAACTATGCATTAACGAGAATGCCACACCTCCACCAGCGAGGGGAGGGAAAAAGTTGGCAAAATAAAATGAGTATTATAGAACATTTGTAATAAATACAGATTTCTGTTAAAAAAAAAAAAGAAAGATCACTCACCAATTTGTACCTGTTCACGTTGGCTTAATGCTACAAATGCTGAAGTATCATCTATCCAAGACACCTGGATATTACCTGAAAAAAGAAAGACCAAACCATAATCACAATGCAAATGGCAACAAAATTTACAGATAATGATAACATATTTTGATTTCCATAAGATTAAAAAAAACGCCTTTGATAACATATATTCTCAGATCAAATCGAAACAAACAGTCAGCCATGCCCTCCATCTGTAGCAATGTTTCATTCTCACCTTCGCTTTAAGGCATTTACCACACAGTCAAATTGAGTTAAAAGACTACAATACAACAAAAACCTTCCAAAAGCAGAACTGGTGCTTCCTTCTGCTTGATTCAATACATACATGGGGGCAAAATGAAGTTTGATGCAGTAATGCAGTGGTTTTCAAACAGATTAGTAGCTATAGATTATATCCCTCAGTTATGATACTATACAATACTCCATGCAGAAGTGCGGCACATGAGGAGCATTGAAGTAACGCTTTTACGAAAATTGGTATATTCATAGATATCACTGAGGTATACATGCTTGCTTCTCACCACCAAAAGCACAAGCAAAGATGGAGTTCAAAACATAAGTAAGAAATCAGAAGATTAGGATATTCAGCCTCAAACCTGTCCCACCATGGCTGATCTGCCCCAGGCCTCAACTCCTCTTATGTGCCAGCTCCTCATTGTCCTCAACTCCCTGATGATATTCCAAAAATCTTTCCACCTCCTTTTTAAAAACAATTAAAACACTGCCATTGAATACCCTTGAATATAGAGTTCTCAGTTCTGGTCACTCTATAACCACATCTCAAACAGCTATCAAGTTATGTTCATTTGTTTCTATTTCTGCCAATAAACTCATCTAACTTCTTACAATTGCTGCGTGCATTCAAATAAAAGTGCCTTAGGTTTTGTATTTTTACTATTATTACTTTAGTTCTAATTTCTGCTGCAGTCTTCCGCTTATATTTTCTTTTCTTCATTCATTAATAGGATGAGGGCATCAATAGCTAGGCAACGTTTATTGCCCAGAGGGCAGTTCAGAGTCTGGCACATTGCTGTGGGTCTGGAGTCACATGTAGGCCACCAGATAAGGATGCCAGTTTCATTCTCTAAAGGACATTAGTGACCCAGATGGGTTTTTTCAACAATCGACAATGGATTCATGGTTGTCATTAGATTCTTAATCCCAGATATTTTTATTGAATTCAAATTCTACCATCAGCCACAGCAGGATTTGAACCTGCATCCCAGAACATTATCTGGGTCTCTGGATTAACAGTCCAGTGATAATACCACTAGGCCATCACCACCTCCTTCCTGTCACTTTGATTATCATTCACCACTTCACCTACACTACCGCTCTATTAAAATGGAGATTAAACTCCAGCTGCCACTCTTCAGCCCATTGACCCAAATGATCAAGATATTGTAATCTTAGATAACCTTCTTCACTATCCACTATACCACCAATTCTCTTGCCAACCAATCAGCACTTCTCTCATGCTGTATAAGTTGGTGCTCTTTTTCCAAGTTTTCTTTCATGCGGTCAGTCCTGCTGAGTGCAAGATGAAAACCTTCAACTCAGTAGAAAACAAATCTACAGAGAAGCCACTACAATTATTTTCAAGTTTGCAAGGGGGCCAAAAAGGTACAGCCTATGTCAACCACAATTCCGGAACAAAGAAAAAATATGCAAGAAAGATAAATTCTTCCTTTAAAACAAAGCAGAAGTGACTGGACAAACTCAGCAGGTCTGAAGCATCTGTGTGAAGAAAACAGCGGCAACTTTTTGGAGTTTGTAAATTCTTCATTTACTGATCAAAATCAACCAATAGTTTAATACCCATAATTTTCAGTCATTTCTACCAGTTCATTACAATAACTTTGCATTACTATCGAAGATAGATGGATTCTACTGAATAAGTTCATAACAGGTGTTTAGTATTTGGTGCTAATATGGAGACAATATTCAATTTACTACTTTTGTAAAGTACATGACAGAGCTGTCCACACTCCTATTTTATTTCCATTCTATAAGCCTCTGTCCTTGCACCTACTATCCATACAAGAGAAGAACAAGACTGTGGAATGACATGTGTGCCACTGTGACAAACACTGAATGCTCTGATCGCCACAAATTCCTATTAAGACTTAGTAGCTCCACTTTCACTATAAAAAGGATCAGTTTGAATAAAGTGGCTGCACAATAAACATGAATCCTTAAGTCTCTTTAATCCCTCTTGAATGACAAGATTAGAATTTCTAAAGCACTCTTGAAAACACCAAGCATCCATTTCAAGTTTTGTCAAAGCACTGGTATTAAAGCTAAAAGCAATGTGCCCCCAGTACTCATTTACTTACACCATAAGTTTGTCTATTTGACAGCTACTTTACAAGCCATTCACTTCACAATTTATTTGAAGAGAACTCTACAGGGTCTCTCGACCATTGCCACATGTCCTTTTTATCATGATATCTTTCAAGCACTATGTGCCAATAAACCACTGGTTTGAAGTTTACCAAAAAAAAATTACAGGACAAATAAAGACCAGAATAATCTGGATCCAAGGAATTATAAAGACATGATCAGTGAATCATTGTTAGGGAGGAACCACATGACTGGGAGCCAAGACTTTCAGGATGCAAGTCATCATGTGTTTGGCAAAAGTAAAAACTACAAAATTAAAATAGAAAAACATTCAAATGACAAAACACACATGACTCATGTTTAAGTTCCACTAGTGTCTTCTTGTGCCAGACATCTTGATCAAGTGAGATGTGAACCCATTCTATAGCCAGGTGTAGAAGCAGCAGTTGAAAATCCATCCACCTTACTGGGAGGTTTGTGGCTTCTGTAGAGCAAAACATGGCTGCCAGTAGGAACCACATTACAGTCTCAACCCCTTTCCTTGTTGTATTACATCCAAAAGCTAAGTTAGATACTGTTGGCATGATTTTGATCATTAAGAGTTGATTGAAAAGAGACTTTGTAAACTAATTCAGTATTTTCCAGAATGTAGACAATATCGGTAAACAAATTGTTCCTTCTTGGATTTTGCTGGAGATCAGTATGCTATTTGCAACCTTAGATGAGTACTTCCTGAAGTGGACATTACGAATCCAAGTGTAGTTGAGAGTTCAGGGGTAGCAATGGCTGTGATCGAGCTCTGACCAAGTTATAACAACTGGGCTGCATCTCAAAGTCCCCACGTTCTCATTATTAAGGGGGGGTCACAAGAATTTTCAAGTTTCTATATGTGGTCATAATGGGAAAATGTTTGGGAAGCACTGGCCATTTGGAAGCATTAGGTTTAAAGGAGTATAATACCAAAAGATGTTCCACATAGGTGTCTCCTTCTGAAGGTTGCTAAAAGCGATCATTTGAAAAACAGTGAACCAGTTCTAATAATAAACTTCTTTGAACTTCCTATTAAAGCATTTAGTCTTAAGTTCATAATCTCTCAAATCTACTGGCTCCATTATATTTCTGCAAGATTTCTATTAAACCTGTTGAATTTAATTGCCAAGCAGTGGCTGGAAATAATAACAATTCTTCAAAACGGGTTACGGACGGTCCACCATCCTGCTGCTGCCAAAGTAATTTCACAGTGTCACACTGCACAGAGTTCCAAAATACAACCAAAATAATATCAAACTGAACAGATACACATCTTTCTATTATTATGACATAACTATCTTTAATAATCCCTTTTCATGTAATCAAACATTTAGTTAACAAATTTTAGCTCCTTGCTAACACAGGCAGAAAATTAACTGATCTGTCAATCACATAATGCAAATAAATGTACATTCACTACCTTTCACATGTTACCACACCTTCATGCTATAGAAGAACTCCAATTTAAAGTGGATATATGATAGGACAAGAGACTGATAGCCTTCAGTGGTGATGTTTTCCCACAGTTTTAAAAGAAAGAAAGAAAATCAAAAATACTGCAGAAACTGAAACTCTGAAACAAACTCAGAAGGCTGGAGAAATTGACATGTTGAGTTTTTCCAGCATTCTTTGTATTTGTTTCATAGAATGGCAATTATTTTAAAAAACAGCTAATTTGTACATAATAGGTTTCTTTAAAAAAAAACCACAAAATGAAAAAAGAGAAGATCTGGTGGGGGTGGGGGGGGGGGATGAAACAGTCGGAAGCTTTCGGATTTGAGACACTGGTGAGTCAAGTGTTATTACAGTTCTTTGGAAAGTTTTGCTGATCAAAAATTTTATCACATCTTTCCCATGTACAAATTCTAATGATTCTCTTTATTCCATATGCAACATCAATGGAAAGCATTTAATGGCAGAACAACGGTCTTTAAGTCTTTGAATTCTATACATTCTGAATTATAACCAATGACAGAATAAGAAAAGGAGGCCATGGATATAATTTACCCTTAAAATATTTTTGTGGCAATCTGAAAATTGTCACTAAAAATTGGCAAGTGGGGACAATGAAACTCACTTTCCCCTACTGATAAGGCTTAAACATAGCCACGTCATTCCACCAAGGAAACCTGCATGGTGTAATGTTGTTTAAAAAATTAGCGCAGATTGAAAGGGGGCACAGAAAACGCTAGAGTGGGCTGTGATCTGCAGAGATAACAAAAAATCTGATTTGCTTAATTCAATACAACTCACCCCAAACAAACCATGTATCTCAGTAAACCAGCTTTGGAGTAGTTACCAACGATAAATTTTAAAAAAAAAAGGAAAATGCAACTGGAAGTTTAAATCTTCATTTTCAAATGAAGATACTGCAGTACTAATCAGATTGCTAAATTGTATCAGATGAAACCAGCCACTTTTTGAATTAGCTTGCAAGGCAAGTAGGTGGGTCCTACCAAAGGCACTGAAAAGCTGGTATAGGTCACTGGTCTTCCACTCCTTTGGAAAACGCACATGAAGAACATGGTCCCTCTTTGGCTGTACTGGAAAACAAAGAGTAAATGTTGTAGTGCCTAATCATAGAATGTAAGGGATCAAAAAAAACTTAGCGGAGGAAAATGTAATGAGCACAATTTGTTCTCTCAACATACGAATCAGTTAAAAATAGATACATCACTAAGTAAGTGCCAATAACTAGTCATAGTCTAATCCTAGAACAACCGATGGCCTTCTTTATTACAAAAAGCTTTTCATTACTTTCAGTGAGCTGTTGTATAGATTCTTCCTTTTCCCTGGAGGTTGTCTAACATTCCTTTTCAGAAAATAGCCAAAAGAAATGCTACACACTTCAGAAAAAAAAAAAACACATGACCACCACACAGTACTTGATTTTTCTCATACCAGAGTTTTCTCGTAATTGCTTCAGTGCCTGCTGCATTTGACAGTAAACTCTTGGGATAGGTTTGGCTGGAAATGTACAGGTTGACACCACATTTGCACTTGCTACTGTGCATTTCAAAAAGATGCTACTTCACTTTTGTAGGCATTTTAAGCAAATGTTTAAGGTTCTTCCTTTGTTTCTTAAGCATAATTACGTTCACCATTGCAACCCCATGACAGCTTTTAGAATGAGCCCATTTTGGATGATAAATGGCAAACATTTGAAAATTAGCAACTCTGCTAGAAGTACAAGTATATTGCAAAAAACTTACAGCACATCAATCATGAAATGTGAAACAGTCCAAGTCAAGTTTGATTTTAGTTCAGAATTATTAAAAAAACCAAAAAAGGACTGCCCTGAAAAAATGCATTTAATATACACTGGCAGTTTCTTTCAAGGGCATGTCAATATACACACTTATACATTTTAGTTCAAGTCCTTACTTACAATCTGGCCCACTCAGATTCAGATAGGGAATGTCAATGACTCTCATTAGAAACAGCCTGTGTACAAAGAAACAAAACACACACATTAAAAAGGTATAAATCTCACCAAACCTATTTCCGACTACAGAAGTTACATTCTATTTGAACAGAGTTCACAGGTCGAAGGGAAGCAGCAGTGAAGAAATATCCAAGAGATAACAACAAACTGAACATATTCATCTGCAAAGCAAGAAAATCTTGTATTACTGTCCTGTTCAGGCCCGTTAATGTCAACGCAATTCTGTCACGATCTGCCAAGTCTGGTGTAATCAGATACAAAAAGTGCTAAATAAACCTTCACCCACTTATGCCTCATTCCCCTTCTTTTTTGAAAAGGTCCTTCATGGAATGTTGGTGGTCACTGAAAAGGCCAGCAGTCCTTTTTCCATCCCTAATTGCCCTTGAGAAGGTGGTGGTGAGCCACTTTCTTGAACTGTAGCTACACATCTGGTTCAACTCTGTTTTAGTTTAAGGCCATCTTAGAAGACAGTTAAAAAACAACCACATTGCTGTCGTATTGTCATATGTCAAACAGATCAGGTAAGGATAGCATTTTTCCTTCCCTAAAAAGGGCAATAGTAACTAAATTAGTCTTTAACATAAACAATAATAGTTTTATGGTTGGCATTATTGGAGACCAGTTTTCAAATCTAGATTGATTAATTGGATTTATCAATTACTAACCCAGTCACATCCATGAATCACAAGAAGTTTGCATCCAAGTTCAGCAGGTAACAGGGAAGGCAAATTGATTGTTGGCCTTTATTTCAAATGGAATGGAGTGTAGAAGTAGAAAGGCTTTACTGAAACTATACAAGGCACTAGTTAAGACCACAGCTGGAATACGGTGAACAATTTTTGGCGCCTAATCCAAGGGGAGCTATTCTGGCATTGCAGGCCGTCCACAGAAGGTTTACTAAGCTAATACAAAAGGCGTGGGGGACTGTTTTGGGTGGGGATGTGGAGTAGATTGGGCCTAGACTCAGAGTTTAGAAGAAATGAGAGGCGACCCATTGAAACATACAAGATTCTTAGGGGACTTGAAAGGGCAGATGTGAAAAAGTTGGTGCTTCTTGTGGGAGAGAGAGAGAGAGTCTTAGATCAGAGAGCATAATCTCAGTTTAAGGGACACCCTTTAAGACAGAAGAGGCAGAATTTCCTGAGTTTAGTGATTCTCTGGAATTCTCTCCCATTGAGAGCAGTCAAAGCTGGATTATTAAGTATATTTAAGGCCAAGACAGATTTTTAATCAGCAAGGAAATCAAGGGTTATGGAGAAAAAGCAGGAAAGTGGAGTTGAGGATTATCAGACCAGCCGTGATCTCACTGAATAATACAGTTGACTCGATGGGGTGAGCAGCCTCCTTCTGCTCCTACATTTTATGGTCTGGTATGACTAAGCTCCTGTCTCTTACTCTCTCTCATGTACCACACCAATTGTCCAAATCATAGGGAGGAGGAGGGAAAAAAAAAAAGAGAGAGAGACTAAAAGTGCATGCATGGGCATCATCTGGATAGTTTGATACGCTGCTGTGTTGAAGACGTGAGTATACAGCAGTCATATTCCCATTTAGCTTTGGTGTTCTTGTGCAATTGACTTGTATGACTGGAGGTCACCAAGGGTGTCGTCATGTTCGCAGTTAGTGGGGCTGTCTGATTTTTTTTTAAAATGGAGAGATTATTACACATTAATAAAATTGCAAAAAAACTGCACGAAGGAGTCAAATGCTTAAAGTTTAAAAAGGCACCTGGGCAATTCTGGTTATGCAAAATGTTTAGGGAGAATAGCTCAATATAGAGTTTGCTCGGGTAAGAGGGACAGCATTGTATTAATTTCCTGTCACATACACATACTTGCTACAAAACAAAATACCAGATTAGGAAAATGTAAACCACATTAGTATAGGAGGTTAAGTTATTTGACACCCCAGACATATCTTATAACTACAATAAAAAGCTGTTTAAATTGCCTAGATGGCGAGGATGAAACAAAAACTCAAGTTTCCAGATTACAATGGAATCTTCAAGGCCACGAGTGACAAACTTGACAGTTAAGTCAGCTACATGACCCACAGACTAGAAAAGTCAGCATTTTCTCCACCTTGGGCTGAAGTTTCAAAATCTGGCAGCAAATTTGTCACAAATGTTTGTTAGAACAATCTGTGTAACTTCCAAAATCACTCAATGTTGCAAAATCAAAATAAGCATTCTACTTTTTGTGGACTTTACAATAGGAAGTCTCATTTTCAATGTCTCCCTATACCAGACAAGTTAGTTTCATATTTATGACTAATAGTAAAGATTTCTGCTACAGCTAGCAAAACCACACCCAGCTTTTGGAACTCAAGGCCTGGCAAGCAAGCGTAATACGTATCAAGTAGGGGCTTGCTCGACTACCTCAATGAAATGGGATCATTTCCTCAAAAGGTTTTATTCACCACCAGATTTTAGGACTTGATACACCTATACCAGTTACTCAGCATCAGCTACTTTTTTGCATATCAATAAGTCAAAGGAGAGAAACGAGTGGGAGGCAGTGAAACACTGGAGAAATTGTAACAACAGTTCAAATTCAATTGTATCAGATTATATCCTACACCTTTTATTTTTACAAATGAATGGCAGTATTAATACAGTAAGAAAACTCTTAAGAGCTGCTTTTCACTAGGACCTTTGCTTCAATTCAAAAACATTATTTCTTCTCCACCTTGGAGCTCACTGTTCCAATGCCAAACAGGATCATGGATCAATCCAGTTTTAAATGGCTAACTTGCGATAATGATCACTCTTCAATTGTTGACTGATACATACATCTGAATTTTATTAGACACTAAATGATAAAAATCTACTTTCTATGATTCAAAAATCTTGTATCCTTTAACCGCAGTAAATGTCTAAGAGGCTCTGACTTTCCTAACAAGATCAGGAAAAATGAGAATATTGAATATTCTACTCTTCATTTTGCTGCTCAGATGGGCAAATATCCAGCGATACACCAACAAAAAACAAAAAACTCCAAAAGTCACAACATGGTTTTGAAGCAATGTGATGTCAATATCCATTTCTGAAAGATTAGGTGGTCTCATAGATATTGAGCTTTTCAGCAAAAGGTCACTTGTTAAGGAAGAGTTAATGGAGACAATAGCAACAATACTGCATCCGCAAGGAAGCTCAGATGGAGTAAAACAGTCTGAAGAATTTTCAGAGAGAAGTCACTCAGCCCAGTAGGAGTGTGGGATAAGACTTTCATTTTTTTTTGGGGCGGAGGAATCACCCGACCGAGAAGCCGCAGCTAATCGCTCCCTTGCTCTTCCTTTCTATCGACTCTGTTTACTGAAAGAAGAAAACCCACTCAAAGTCAGCTTTGCCCCAAGAGAGCTCTTTAAGAGGATTTCCTTGAAATCTACCCCCAAAACTTTAGCAAAGAGAATTCAGGCAACAGCAGCTACTGCAGGAACACACCCCAATGCCAGCAGCTAGTATTTAGAATAACTTCTGGGAGAGACAGAAGCAAAATGACAATGTCACTCGACTACTAATCCAGAAACCCATACTCCCACTATGGCAGATCGAGACATTCAAATTCAAAATAAATTTGGAGTAAAATACTAATGAAGACCACAAAATCACCGCTCGGTGTCATTAAAACAAAAATGCATTTGGTTTACTCGTCATTTACGGAAGGAAATCGGCCATCTCTACTTGGTCTAGTCTACACAAGACTCCAGGACCGTAGCAATGTGGTCAACTCTTGACTGGCCTCTGGATGATTACAGCCTTAAGTGGAATAAGGGTTACAGGGAAAAGGCAAGAGAATGGGGTTGACAAACCTATCAGCCATAATCAAATGGCTGAGCAGACTTAATGTGCTGAATGACCTAATTCTGCTCCTATTCCTTACGGTCTTAAGGATGGGAAAACAATACTAGTCCAGCGCCGTCCATATCCCATGAGTGAGTAAAAGAAAAAGAATCAGCATCATTTGGGATAATCTATTTATTTTCGTTATGTTAACTATTACTTGGCCAAAATACTTCGAAGAAAGGCAGCACTTCAGTTTTCTTTTAAGTTCTCCTCTGATGTATGCTTGAAAGAGAGACGGTGAGTGACTGCGATTTTGTTTAAAAAAAGTGATAGATAGGCATTTGCATTATCAAATTTGTCTATCAATGGTCTTTGTATCTTTATTTGCGCAAGCTTGTTTCTCATACTAAATCAGTTATTTACTGTCAGTTACAGAAACCTGGCTAGCTTGTTTTTTGTATGAACCTGACACATTCTGGAGGTGTATATAATTGGTCACATCACCAACCTAATTAAAATTTAAAAATTTGATGTGACTAGAAGTGAGGTGGAACTAGACTAAGAAACAGTACGTCCTTCCAACCTCTGTTCTAACAATATAGGCGGCCTTTCTTAATGAAAAGGGATGGCAGCAGGCAAAATAAAACCCCTTTTTAAAAGGCAAATTTCAGAAGTTTTTCTTATACTAGCCATATCTACCTCATATTAAAGGTTGCAAGAAAATGACAAGTGCCTTTCATGATTTCTACGTATCTCAAAAGCTTGTTCCCAATATTTAAGTGCAGTCACATCATTGCAGTTGTGGAATATTCAAAATATGTATCCCATCTCAACGGGGATAGCTCAGTAATCCATAGAAAGGACAAAAAAAACAGATCTTGTGTAAACTGAACAGAAATAGCATGCAAGAAGACAACTTGTCCTACATATAGGACCATCTGTCATACAAGCACTCACTATATACCTCCTAACCCTATTAATACATGGAATAACATCACACAAGAGACTGTTGGATTTAGACCGAGGCTCCCAGTCAGTCAATAAAACAAACTTACAGTCAAGCATGAATAAAAGACTTTCTAACTCTTAGAAAGAGAAATTGTTGGAGAAATTCAGTGGATCTGGCAGCATCTGTGGAGAGAATGAAGAATAAATGTTGAACCCAGTGACCTTTCTTCAGACTCGAAATGTTAACTCTGCTTCTTCTCCACAGATAATGCCAGACC